ATAATAAACATTTATCATGATATAAGGAAATATAAATAACAACTTTATTATTGCCTCTAGGGCATATTTCCTTCAACAATAAGCTAAGAAATTAGCCGGTATAGAACCAAGAGAAAGATTAAGACATTTGATGAAGAAGAAAGATGGCGAATCCAGCGAGGCAGGAGGATACACATATTTTCGTTTTATCCACTGCAAAAAACAACAAAACTATCTTTAATGAGCCACACATGATCTATGTAAAGATCTAGTTATTCGTTTTGGTCTGTGATATTTCTTTGGGTAAGGGAAAACTAGAGAAAAAGAAGCTAAATGTACATGTCTATTTTTTTGGAGTTGGAGGAATTAAAACAAATATAGGACGTGTTTGGTTCACTGGTTGGTAACGCAAACGACAATAGTAACAGGTCGCAATGAGATCGAAGGGGTAACAATCCATTTCTTGTTTTGTTTGGCACATGCCAATAATGTTATCAGTAACCTTTATAGTGTTTGGTGTGACACTGTAATCAGAATACATCAGATCGTATGCACGCCCGATTTCAAATTCACACAATTTCACACAATTTCACAAGGTTTTCACATGCATTTAGTGGATGCTTCACTAGCATAACTTCAAACACATCAAACAAGTACATAATTCAAAAATATTTGCATTCATCCAAGACATCATTTAACCAGATTTTGAGACCATTTATAAATATCAACTCATTGGTACAAACTCATAATTCAATGACAATTCGAGATAAAATACATAATTAGTCCCCAAAATTTATTTTGTAAGACAAGTCCAAAGGCCAATTTCAGAATCTTGCAAAGTAGCTTTTCCAGTGACCATTCCTCTCATCTGCCACACAACCGATCTTTTCTAATCAACCTAGCTTCTTTTATCATCTGTCAATAAGCAAGAGTTAAATGAGAAATACATAAACAGACAAGAGACAACCACTAATCCAAAAATTAACAACAGAATAGGCACTGTGATTACAAAATTGTAAGCAATCCATAATTGTCATCATTTATTATGTTATTCACTAGCAAATCACTTGGCCTAGAAAGATAATTAAGAACTCTAATGATAATTTACTTGACATATCTAAGAAAATGCATATTATCCCTATTCATTGTAACTTAACATCTCATAGGTGGTTATTGAACTCTGTTATTCACCTGCATAACCAGCTTGTCAAGTAGAGATTGGATGGAACATATACTATGAAATGTCAAGCATAAGCAACAAGTCAACTAGATATTGCAAATGCATATACTAGCAACAAGTCAGGTAGAGGGTGAAAATGCATATACTAACAACTAGTCAGGTAGAGATTGCAAATGCATATACTAGCTGCTAGTCAAGTAGAGATTGCAGCTGCATATGACAACTAGCCAAGTAGAGTAGTATAGGTTATCAAACTTGATAATGTAGACTACAGAGTTTAGCAAAAGGGATTGTAGAGTTTAGCAAAAGGATACCAGCGAGCATTTTTAAGACGAACTCCCTCCTCAGATTTTCTGGAAGCATAAGCATCATGTTCATGTGATCTGGAGCTTTAGCAAATACGGATGCAGCCTCAACGATCTCACACCCAATGAAGCTAAGCCTAGTCAATTCACAACTTGCCTTCCCTTTTGATTTCTATTGAGGATCCTCTTGTGCTACTTCTCACGCCATTGATGTTGTGAATGATGTTGCCATTGTACCCACGTGTTGTGTTGCATTGTTCAGCTGGCTATTGAAATCTTGTAGCATTATTGCAAAAGGATCACTTGGTAGTGTCACCCTCTTTGGCCTTGGTTCCTTCTTCGGCCTCTTGAAACTAGTTGCGTCCACAGAGCAAGTGTCAACAGACCGTCTAGTGGTACCTGTTGAGATTAGGTCCTCTTGATCATGTTCCTTCCTCGACAGCAATTTCATTTTGCAAGTTTACCACTGTCTCACCAAAGCCTTTAACATTTTCCATCGTTGCTACGATCTTGCCATAAATAGCATCCAGCCGCTCAAAGTACAGAAATGGGACACCATACAATCCCTTTGCCTCATTATGAATCTACATGTTTTTTTATAGAAGAAGGAACTTAGTCTCTGATAGAAATGCAACAGATCGGGGGTACATATACCAAAAGGAATCAAACAATAATATAAAAAATAACAAGGTAGGAAGGTACAACATCAAGCAATTCAACATTACAAACTACAATAGCAATGTGCACAACAACACTACAATAACATTTCAACATTGAAGGAGTTCAGTTTTAATGGATGAAGTGATCTAGCTTACAATATGCTTCATATTGTGCCTTCCCGCATTGAATTATCTTTCGGTTTGCATCCAATGTGAAACCACTTTTGGCTATCATTACTTCAAGAGCACCATATTTTGTCCTAAAGTGCCCCACTCTTGACTTAATGTGCGAAATTGAAGAGATACCACAACCCAAGCACTTCTCGGCAAGATGCTTCTCCAATATCGCCAGGTATCCATTTTTGAAGTTACCATCTACCGTCCACCTTGGATCTAAAGACAACTCATACAAGGCTTTTCATCATCCTCATTCGAAGTCCACTTCCTGTTATTCTTGCTTCTTCCACGGGACATACTTGAGTTATCCACATCCATATCTAAAGAAGGAATAACTAATACAAATGAGAAGGAACACACACACACACATATGAAATGGAACAAATACAAATGAGATGCAATTGAAACAAAAAGAAAGTTGGAAGAAAAAAATGAAAAAAAGTATAAATGACTTATACCTCAATTACCCCTAGCAGCCCTATGTCTGCTATACATGCCCTGCGCAAGAACATTTCGAAAGTTTGTCTGCTCATTCGAAGTTGAGAGAGAAGTGATGAATTCTAGTTGGCCTAACTCTCCCTCCATGGTTTCCAATGTTTCTTGCATTATTGGCTTGTCATCATTGAGTGGGTTGAGCGGCATATTTTGCAAGATAAGATTGTGCTAGAGTGCATATGCTATGATGATTCGACATTGTGTCTTCAACTCTTCATAGAAAAAAAAGACGGGGACCCAAAAATCGCCCACTGATTCTTGAGCCTTCTAAAGGACCTTTCTACAATATTTCTGGCTCTAGCATGACACATGTTGTAATACTCATCTGCACTACGAGGTGGGTTATGTGTTGTCCAGCCACCCAAGTGGTACCTTTGAGCATGATATGGAGCTAAAATCCCTCTGGCATCTGTGTAACCAGCATCGATAAGGTAAGATTGATCTTCGGGGACACGGAACCCATTTGGCATTGAGATGGCACCTCTAAGAACACGACCATCATGTGGAGAACCCTCCCAACCAGGTAATATGTAGATGAAAGACATGTCATGTGCACACACACCTGACACATTTGTATCTATACCACCCAATCTTGATCGATATCTTATTTTCATATTAGCCGGGACGGTTACCCCTATGTACATTACATTTCCCCGAATCAAACACCTCCATAATTTATACTGAACTTCTATACTTATGTATAACTTACATGTTTGCTATATTTTTAACTTATAATTTGCTTAATTGGCATAGTCAAGCACACTAACATTAGTACTACCATAATGATATTTGGTATACAATTATTATGTATATTATTCTAAAATACATTCGTGTTGTGCTATTTGTATTTTCTAGAAAAACCTTCTCGATTATTTCTTGGAAAATGTATAAATAAACTATGTAGTGTGGATTGTATGTGTAGTATTTTACCATTCTTAAATATACCCATGCTAGAGATCTCTAAAGCATACCATGAAACAAATATCTCCATAATAGTTTCTAGTGTATCATGAGATAATCATTTTATAGAGCCTCTAGCTTATAAGATGAACTGTTGGAATTAAATATTCATCAGTATTTCTTGGTCAAATGTGTTTTGCAAGTTATGGTGATTTCAGTAATGGATGAGTTATGCCTAATGCATTGTAGAAGTAACATTCGCAACCCCTGCATGCCCGAACCGCGCGGTCTGGAGGTGTTTTGTCATCCAACACAGTCCCGCATCCGTTTGTGAACCGGTCCGGACATCCGGACCGCTGCCGCGCACATGTACGACACCCCTGGCCCATCCAAAACCCTCTCCCATCCTTTCTCTCCAATGGATTTCCCGCGCCACATTCATGCTGGCCTAGAGCCGCAGCAGCCGACATTGATGTCGTGCGATGTGATCGGACAGGAGGGCGGCGTTGACCGACGCGACCAGATGGGAGACACGGCAAGCAGGAGCTGGTGTCCCCCTAAGCAAGCAGGAGACACCGCAAGCAGGAGCCGGAGCCCTCATAGGCGTCGGAGCTGCCGCAGTTGCACGTCAACTTGGCGCCGGGCATGGAGATTGTGTACATCTTCGACAATAAGTAGTTTTAGGTATGTACAAAGTATGTAGGTTGTTTATCTGCATTGCTAGTATGGATTTGAGGTATGAAGTTTGAGGTTCATGGATGTGATGGATGTTTTCTTTTTTTATGCTGCGTTTGAAGGGTGAATTTTGGTACTTCCGGTTGTAGATGCTCTTATTAGGCAGAATCGCGACTAAACTTTTCTCTGACCGGCTATGGCAGCTCCACCCCTCCTTTTGATTAGTCTATCCATGCGAGTTGTTTCAGCGAACTTGAAATTTCATAGAAATGAACCCGCAATTTTTTTCCATAGAAATGCATTTCTTTTACTGAATGTACCAACGATTTCACTGCTTGAGCGACTTGTATTACAAGACAGTTCTGCTACTCAGCGTGTAGACTGTCCATTCAGCTACATGGTGAAAATCTCTATTGCAAAATATGAACAACCTTTCAATCAAAAGTACTCCCTCTCTACCATAATATAAGAACGTTTTTTACACTAGTGTAGTGTCAAAAACACTCATATATTATGAGACGGAGGGAGTACTTTGCATACATTTAGGCAACGGAAAGTTCTTTTCTGAACCGAATGTTGCCATCTCCTTCCTGAAAATTCAGCCAGGATGCTGAATGCCGGCAGGGGAAGCTACCCAACCAGCTTCTTTCCATGGCTTCCAACCTTTTGCTGCCTCTGCTGCTCCTTCTCCCCGCCTGCTCTCCTCCTCCCCTTCACCACAGCCCCGTCAGTGGCATCGACACCGTTACCAGTAGCCGGCTCATGGCCACCTCTGCTCCTTCCTCTTGCCGCTGCCGGCAGTAAAGAGGGGTCTTTGCCGATACCTGTTGCTGCAGCCGGTTGACGTGGCACTCTTCTTGCAGCGCCGCCATTGCCGGCATCGACCTTCAGGTCCTTTGCACCAACCGACACTCTTCTTGTGGCGCCCCCATTGCCAACATCGACCTTCAGATCCTTTGCACCAACCGACACTCTTCTTGTGCCACCACCATTGCCAGCATCGACCTTCAGATCTTTTGCACCAACCAAAGGATCCTTGGTCCGAGCTCTTGGGGCAGCCGCCGTGACATTCTTCATCGCGGGTTTGTCTGCGACGTTCTTGGCTGCCTTTGTGCTGCCTGGGGCTACGGTCTTCTTGTCTGACGAGGTTTTCTTAGCTGCCTTGGTGTCTGTTGTAGGAGCTGCCACTGCATTCTGCAGCCTGTTTCCCAGAGGTGTGTAGCTTGATCTCTTGTCTATTTTGTAAGATGGGGACTCTTGTTTGCAGAAGGCAGGGGACGGTCCTCTGGTGCTGAGGTTTTTCTCTGACGAAGAGCTGGGTCTTGCCGTTGGAGTGGCCGACTTTGAGGAACTGGACGTCGTAGGAGATTCAGATTTCGTCGATGTGCTACTGAGTGCATCGAGCTTTCCTGAGAACTGTCAAAGTTTCACAATGTCAAGAAATAAGATCAATGAAAAAAATGAATAAATCGCGAAAAAAAAAACAGCTAGTCTTCTTTGGTTTGGTGGATAACTTTGACGGTCACCCATGTGGTATTAGAAGATGATTTTTTTTATTATAAAATGTTCTGCAATCCTCATGCGGTATTTCAACTTGGTGAATGGTGAATTACTTCGATGTGTCATGATTGTTTTTAAAAATTTTTATGATGTGCGGAAGAGGTGCATGTCTTTTCTAAGGTAAGTAGAGTGAAAGTGTTGCTATTACTGTGAAGACTCGATAGCCATCATACCCTTGAAGTTTTAACTGGTTGAAGGATAGGCAGCTCCCTCTGGAAAACCATTTGGGCGGAATCAGCTTCCATCTCAAGGGAAGCGAACAGCGGGGTGGCAGGAGGAGTCTTGAGCCTGAAATCAAATGAACCGCCCCGATTTCAAAATACGCAGTAGAGAGAATAGGTCAACATGTTTTTACTGCAAGCAAATTCCATCTTTACCAATCGTAATCGTTCTTTTCGCCATCTGTGAGTAGGTAATCTCGCTTCCCCGAGGCGAGTTTGAACATGCGGCGGTCACCTATATTCAGACAAAAAAAGCGTTCTAGTCAGATTATCTATCTTCCAAGTAAAGATGTGTATCAACTTCCCTAGATCTTCCAACAGTTTATTGATACCAGTGACACAAAATCTCATCATCTTAGCCC